GCCAGAGTATCTATGTACAAAATCAAAATCAAAATCAGTTTTTTAGATATCAATGAAACAGGCATAGCTAAAAATTGGTGAATTATCATGCAAATTAGGTAATTAAGGAGTCAAAAACAAAGAGTCAGAATATAATGTTATCTCATTTTTTATGCAAACTGAATTATATTATCAATACTTAAATATTCCCACAAACCTTATTTCTTTTCTTAATTTACTGTTAGTACTAAACCAGAAATTAAATACTAGTCCACACAAGTAAGTAAAATTTATTAAAATTTAATAAAATATTAGAAATGAATACCCATTTTCTGGAGTGTAAATGGAATAATTATTTTACCTTGTTGTCATAGAAATTATCAATTAATGTGATAAACCTTCTAGCAGCTACTTTCTGATCCAAGGACATCTGAGGAATGTTTCGGATGATAATGGTGTGGAATTCCTTACAGAGTTTAATATAATCTGCTGCACTTCGTGGCTGTCAAATAAATGCATTACATAGTAAGTTACTCGCATTCCATATATATCCTAAGGTTTCACTGGCTTGGCCACACATTCTCAGTTGCTAATAATTATAGGTCAAAATAGCTAATGTTGATGGCTTTGTGGCAGCAGTTATGTACAGTAATTATTAAACAAATTAAAAAAACATACAATTATAGTGTTATATCATTTCAATTTATGAAGCCACATACAATTGCTGACATAATTATTAAAAGTGCCCCCTTGGTTAATGTAAGAATGGAAGCAAAGCATTATGGGTACACAACATAGGATAGGTTAATCAGTTCAAGGAGCATCAGAGATGAGTTTTGACCACAACCTGCATTCTGCCTAGAATTTACATTAAATTTGTAATATTGTAACAAAGTGTAGAACATTTCAGAGTATTGTCATTGAATTCCTGAAATGGACAGGGTGGAAGCCTTGATTTGAGGAATTGTACAAGTTGCCACATGGATGATCAAGTGGGACCATTAAGACATAGCGCTATGTTGCCATCTTGAGCTTTCTTATTTACAGTTTTTTTTTATTTAGGCAATTGTATACGAGTGGTGTGGTCATTAATAAATAACTTGATGGATAAGTGGTGTTTGATGGGAAGGCTAGGTAAATTGGTGCGAATAATGCTTTGAGCTAAATTTAAACACCTGACATGGGTTGTCATTATTATTGGATATAAGTGGAAAAATAAATTGTATGGTTAATTGGATATTCATTAAAATAAAATGGATGCAAAATAAAGTGATTTGAATCAAGGTACAATAATGTCTAATGTATATATCAAGTTTGGAATCTGTTATCACACAACCAAGATCTGGTTCCGGAATTGCAAAAACGTTTAAATAAATTGTTAGCACTAAAAATGGCTACCATTTGGCCATCAAAAACAAATACACATGGATACAAAAAATCTATGTACATAATTGACTTACTCATGTTTGAGATACAGATATAGACACACACAAAGAAGTGAATTTTCAGTTTCCCATTTTTGGAACTAAATATATACAAGGTATGGTAGAATGTTTTACTTACCTGAAGACAAAGATCATCAAATGTGAAATCAGCAACACCTCCACAACACAGTGGTACATTTATCGTTCTTCCTAGTAGATGTAATGTCCGTGTCTCAACAACTGATAACACAATAAACAATTAACTGCTATTAACTGGTTGCAATGAAATCAGCAGAAATATTACCTTTCTTAAATGATATTTCTTTGTTACTATTTATAGTTATTATCACTGCATGTGTGGGTTATTGTTATCAAATGCAATATTTTATTTATGTGCACCTCTATTAGAGAGTCATGCATTTGGTAATACAGTAAATATGGTATATGTAAAAAAACAAAACAATATGTTTGGTAGTACATTCTACATGTGCAATCAAACTATATGATATGCATTTTTGATCTGGCCAGTATATACCTGCATCTTCCCGTTTTGCTAATTCTTCAAAAACTTCATCTAATTCAGCGTCTGCATCACACTGACTTTTAATAAAGTACACATCACCATCCGTCGGAAGTCCTGAAAATAAATAACTTAACATGTATAACTGAGGATGACAATAGAACAGTATTGAAACTAGATTTCAAGGTATTGCAATGTTAATAGTTATTGTAGTACTCCCATAATGTATCTTACTATAGGAATTACCGATAGCTTCCTGCTCATATAAATAAACACATTACACCACATTCAAACTGATTTCATTATTCTGGTACAAAATAAGAAGGGAGATACATCATGTATGTAGGACTAACAGAGCTAATTTCAGCTGTGGATAGAATTTTATCAAATTATATTCTATTATATTTCCAATCATAAATACACCATCAGCCTCTCATTGCATCAATCCCCCTCTCATTGCATCATTCCCCCTCTCATTGCATCATTCCCCCTCTCATTGCATCAATCCACCTCTCATTGCATCATTCCCCCTCTCATTGCATCATTCCACCTCTCATTGCTTAATTCTACCTTTCATTGCATCAATCCACCTCTCATTGCATCATTCCCCCCTCTCATTGCATCAATCC